ACTGGAAAAACATCAGTATATCAATCAAAGTCCAAGATCAGGCTTTTTCACTGCACCACATTTCCCTGTGTGCAGGTAACAGAGTAGCTCTGATGGGCACTGTTTACCAGGTCAAGCTTTGCAGGTCTGTGGGACTTTTATTGACTCTGGTCCTATGTGGGACATGGAGGGGCAGGAACCTGAATCCCTGGAGCTCTATTTGGGGGTGATTTTGGAGGGCCGGGCTGACTCAAATGAGTAGAGTGAGGCTCCCAGCCTGTAGTGAGGCTCTACTTTTTTTGAGTTGGAAAAATGAGAGAGTGCAATTTCTATTCTCATTTTGGCCATTCTAAAATGAGTGGCCAAGGCCCTGCAAAGGTTCATATGCTTTATCAAATCCAGGCAAAGAAGGGGGGACAGGGGATGTGGATGATTTGGGGTGGAAGTGATTCTGGGGCTACCACACTCATGGAGTATTAAGGAAAGTGCCCCCCTCTCATAAACTGAGTTATGAGATCCTACAGTTCTTGCCCACCCCTGAAGTCTACCTTCCCTCTCTGGGCCTGGGAGTAGGAGCCAGAGGCTCCCAGGTATTCTGGGCTCTCTCCAAGGACATTCTCTTCCAGATGTTCCCACAGAGGCTGGCAGGGACACCAGAGGTTCCTACCACACTGCCCTAGGCATGGAGCATTCTGTGCATTTAGCCCAGACAATGACAATGACTATGAATCTTCTTCCATTCCCTCCTTGTTCCCCTTCCCTGCTGCACATAAGTGGGTAGAGTTGGTCAGGTTGTTTTGAGTCCTGGAGAGGCCCTCTAGACTCACGGGTCCTCAAAGTTTGGATTTCTTGGAGATTAACATTAAAATAGTCCTTATAAAACATTGGTACATTCTGAAGGAGACTGGGAGAGGGCAGGGCAGTAGCCTGGCCTATTGGAAAGCATATGGATTTGGCACTGATAGCTCTAATTAACTTTCAACATCCTTATCAGTCAAGTGGGATTAATAATACTTGCCTGACCGGTTGATGAGAGGCTCTAATCATATAAGAAGAAAGTACTGGGTAGAGAATAAAGTTTTTTAATCTCCACTATGGGACCTACCCAAAGTCACAGCCAGAGGAGTTGGGGCTGAAAGGAGAGTGCCCAAGTCCTAGTCCAGGAGGGTCCTCTTCATTGCCCTCTTGAGTTTCCTTCCAAGGGTCTATCTGGGCCAGGTGTCCTACTTACCAGGCCATTCTACCCTGCCTCTTGGGAAGATTTTATTGCTTTCAGAAGGTGCAGCACAATTAAGGGCAGCCTAGAGTAGGAGAAAATGTATAGGCCTTGAGGTTAGACAGTCCAGGTTAAATTTCTGCTTTTCTAGTCAACTGTTCAACCCTGGGAACATTATTTAATCCCTTGGGACCCAGTTTTCTGAGCTGTAATATAGAGAAGGTACATAGAATTCCTATCATGCAGAATTGTTCTTAGGTTAGAGATCATCTTTTTACAGTGTCCAACGTTTTGTAGACACTCAGTGATTTCTGTTATCATAAAAAGCAATAAAATCAGTGTTGGGAGTGACTTCATTATTATTCTCTTGGATCAGAATAAACAGAGCTTGTAGCCCCTGGTCTACCTCTTTGACTGACTTTCCATGGGTCTCTGAGAAAGAGGGATTTTGGAGAGCTCTTGGGAAGAGCGTGAGGCTGGGCTGGTCATAGGTCTGGAAGCCAGGAGGAAGGAATGGGGATTGAAGGCCTCAAAGTGTATTTCTGCTCTGTGTAGCTGGCAGCTTCTGCTTCCTCTATCCTCAAGAAAGGGCCAAGATGTCCTTCACAGCTTTCCAAGGCACATGGCTGGGACTTGGTGAGATAGTGTGACTTTTTCAGAGAAAATCCCAGGCCTATTCCCTGGGGCTAGGGTAGTGCAGGCTTTCAAAAAGAAAAAAGACTTTCTTTGTTTATTTTTCCTTGAGTATGTTTTATTTTCAAAATGGAGTGATTTAGTTCTGATTTCCCCCAGAGCTCCAAATGTTCTCTCTCTGAGTGCTGAGTGCGTGCAAATGGTTTTAATTATCAACAGTCCCGTTCAGGCTGGATGACATGGGTTTCCTCTGCCTGCCTCCTGGCAGGACTGTGGGAGATGGGGATGCTTCAAGGCTTGTGCCTTCTGGCTGGTCCCCCTACTATTCCTTCATTTTCCTTTTGCTGGAGTGTTCTGTGTCCCAGCCTGATATTTTCCACCAACAGTAGCTACCCACTTTATACTGCTGAGGTGTCTCCCTTCCTGGACAAGTGATTCCTCTTCTTGTCTGATATCTCCACATCAGTGCTTTGCCATTGTGAGAGATCGACTGCTAGTTATTGTGTGTGTGTGTGTGTGTGTGTGTGTCCATGAGTGTGTGCCTAAGGTGGAGTGGCAATTTAGGTGACAAATAGGGGAAAATGAAATTTTTTGGCAACTTTGTACATATTCAGGGACCTTGTTCCTCATTTTAATGGAAAAAATTTAAAAAGTGTGTTGTACACTGTGATACGGGTTTTACAACGCCTTTTGACAGGTCTTACCTTATAATTTTGCAGCAGCATTACAAGGTTGTTATTGTCCTCTGCATTTATTCTGAGCTGAGGCTTGAGTTTCCAGCCCCAGAAATCTGCTTACCAGATTTGGCTTACTTGGCCCTGAGAGGTAATAGGGTGGAATATGCCAATCCATGATTTTTCCCAGTTTTTCTTAAGGTGGCTCATTGTGATCCCATTCTACCATGTCTGTTCATGTGAAATTTTTGGATGGTGTAGATATCTGGCCCTCTGGAGTAGCGGAGCCTTCTTGCTGATGTCTGCAGAGGAGGGATCCTAGGTCACCCTGTCTCTTGGGCATAAACTGTTCTGCATGCCTACTTTGCATTTATGTAGAGCCAAGGCTTTGTACCTGCCTTGTTCTCCACATATTCTCTCATGCCTTCTGGCTCCCTGGGTAAGAAAGCCCTTTTCTGTTTGATCCTAAATTAAGACTACCTTGCACTGACCTTCTAAACATTCTTTCATTCTTCTCCAGAGTCTCTATAGTTCATACAACTGTCAGTCCTTCTTGCCTCCTTGGCTGTGCTATCCTCATTAGATGTGTATTGAGGGATTCTTCTCACTTTCATTTTCAATAAATGTTAACTAAATACTAAATAATAAATATGGTAGGATTCCTGCCATTCAGGAATCCATAATTCATGGGAAAATAAATATAGCAATAATTATAGTTCAGGACTGTAAATGCTTGAAAAGAGACCTAAACAAAGTTCTTTGGGAGCACAGAACGAGAAACATTTAATTACACCCAGGGATAGAAGCTTAGCAAAACAGCATAGGAGAGAGACAGTAAACCAGGATGTGAAAGATGAGTAAGATTTTGCTCAGTGGGAAGTCAAGGAGGGGGATCTGGGAAGATCTTGATGAAGGGATAAGAAGTAAAAAAGACAAAAAGACATAGAAGCATGGGAATCAGTGCCACCTTCATGAAATGGCATGCATTCTAATGTGGCTGGAGCACAGGGGTCATGGTCAGCAGTGGTGAGAGAGAAACCTAGGGCTGGATGCTGGAAGACAGACTTTTTGCCACAACCTAACAGTTTGATCTTTTTTTCTAGAATTAATGTGGAACTTTGAGAGTTTTCTGTTTTTGTTTTTGTTTTTAAAGCAATAGATAGTGAGCTGATTTCATTTGCTTGGAAGATTGTTGGGATTGTACAGATAAAGAAAGATGCACTGGGGGCATGGGAGACAGAATCAGAGTCTCTGAGCTTGTGTGGCTGTTCAGCCCACCCCACAGAAGAAAGGACATATTAGAGGAAAACAGTTAATAACAACAGATGTAAATATTTGCACACTTACTATGTGTCAGGCATTGTGTTAAATGCTTTACACTCATCATCTCACTGAATCCTCATATTGAGCTCTGTTAGGCAGCAACTATTATCCTCATTTTAATGATGGAGAAACTGAGGCTCAGAAAGGTTAAATGATTTGCCTAGATGGCACAATGAAGTTATCCACTGGGATATGAATCCAGGATTGATTTCAAAGCTCATACAATACTGCCTCAGAAAGAGTTTGTTTTTTGGACTGCTTGAGAGAGAGGTGATTCCTTTCTTTAAGACTTTAGAATTATGAATCTGGATCACAAAAGACAATTCAAAGCTTGCTAAACAGATTTAGGAATCAGTAGTTTATGCATAACAAATGGATTTATTTAAAGGGACAAGATGACCAGGGTAGAGGGTATAGAACAAGAGGAGAACTAAGGATAAAATTCTGAGAGCATTATTATCTAAAAGTATGCTTAAGGGTCAAGGAGAGGAGGCTGAAGATCCAGAAAGGAGACCAAGAACTGGTGATCAGAGCGAGATTAGGAGCAGCAGGAGGAGGAGCGAGAAATTTTTAAGAAGGAGGGAACTCCTCACAGTGTCATAGGTTACAGAGAGGTCAGTACAGGAGATTTAAACACTGATGACTTTGGCTTCTTTGCCTGAAATTCTAGGTTAAATATGGCTCCTTATACCTTCTCCCTCCAGCAGTTTGAATTAAACTCTCACTCTCTGCTCTAAATCTTGTGCTCCCAATGTTTTGCTCTCTGCCTGGTCTGAGGGAACCCGTGTAATAGCTCAATGGTGGTACAAAGATTACTGACACATCCTGAGCCCAGTGAATGGTGGAAGTCCTTTCTGATGCTGGCCATGAGCTCTTCTTCACACTCAACTGCTTTCTGGCAACTTGTCTTAGTATTTCACTTGTTTTCAAGATTGACTTTAGAGGTGGGATTAATAATTAGAACTGGGCCTTGAGTTACAAATGGTGGTTAGGTTGAGTTTAGGGTAGAATCAGAGTTTGGATAGGCAATGAAGTTAGAGTTTGGGTCAGAGAATAGGACATCAGGGTGGAGGGAAAAAAGCATGGTATTGGGATCCTGGAGGATCTGACAATGGCTTGTTTTTGTATTCCAGCCTCAACCTGCCTGGCACTGGTTGAGGCTCAGCATCTTCACTATGGTGGACCCCAATAGCAATGAATCCAGTGCCACATATTTTATTTTAATAGGCCTTCCAGGCTTGGAAGAAGCTCAGTTCTGGTTGGCCTTCCCATTGTGCTCCCTGTGCCTTATTGCTGTGCTAGGTAACCTGACAATCATCTACATTGTGCCGACTGAGCACAGCCTACATGAACCCATGTATATTTTTCTTTGCATGCTTTCTGGCCTTGACATCCTTATCTCCACTTCATCTGTGCCCAAAATGATGGCCATCTTCTGGTTCAATTCCACTATCATCCAATTTGATGCTTGTCTGCTACAGATGTTTGCCATCCACTCCTTATCTGGCATGGAGTCCACGGTACTGCTGGCCATGGCCTTTGACCGCTATGTGGCCATTTGCCACCCATTACGCCATGCCACTGTGCTAATGTTACCAAGATTGGCCTGGCTGCTGTGGTATGGGGTACTGCACTTATGGCACCCCTGCCTATCTTCATCAAATGGCTGCCTTTCTGCCACTCCAACATTCTTTCCCATTCCTACTGCCTACACCAAGATATCATGAAGCTGGCTTGTGCTGACATCCATGTCAATATCATCTATGGCCTCATTGTCATCATTTCTGCCATTGGCCTGGACTCACTTCTCATCTCCTTGTCATATCTGCTTATCCTCAAGACTGTGTTGGGCTTGACACGTGAAGCCCAAGCAAAGACATTTGGTACTTGTGTCTCTCATGTATGTGCTGTTTTCATATTTTATGTACCTTTCATTGGATTATCTATGGTGCACCGTTTTGGCAAGCGGCATGACTCCCTCTTACCCATCATCATGGCCAACATCTACCTGCTTGTTCCTCCTGTGCTCAACCCTATTGTTTACGGATTCAAGACAAAGGAGATCCGGCAGCGAATACTTCGTCTTTTCCATGTGACTACCCATACTTCAGATCCCTAGATGTCAGTGAAAACTTCCCTTTTACTCAAAGTTTTTCAATTCAGATTTTAATGTCAACATTTTGGAAGACAGTATTAGCGAAAAAAAATCTTCACTAGTAGAAACACAACTGATTCTTTAAACATGAAACTGGTTGGAGAATCTCTATAGGATAGGGGTAGACCCATATACTACTGATTTCCATTTTAAAATATTTTCCCTTTATAATTCTCTCTGTATAATTATTAGAACCATGAAGTTGTTGTGGCTGGAGGGTTATTCCTTCCCATTTAACCATGTAGTCCAAATCTCTAATTGCTTGCACTGATAGTCCATAGCATTCTGAGATGAGAGTGGCACATCTAAGGGATCTTGATGAAAGGGTTAAGCATGGCAAAGTAAAATAAACACAAGAGTGCAGTACAATCAGATAATCTGGCTTAAAACTGTGATTTCCTCTTCAGAATCCCCAACTGTTTTGGATCCCAGGAAAAGAGATATACCTGGATTTCCTTCTTCAAAATAATCTCCACAGAGAATAAATCATTTCTGTTCTTCTGGGCACCAGCCCTTAAGAGGAGGATTAGAAGTAGAACCTTGAAAAGACTATAGTTACCTACATGAATGAGAGAGAACATAATCTGTTTTGAGAGTTTTCACAGCTCATGGACACTTTTCCTTAATTTTCTTATCAACCTTTTGATCTGGGCAGGAATATGATTAGTATCACTATTATTCCAATGGGGAAATTGATGTTAATGGGGATCAGTGAATTATATGAGGTCACAAAAAATTGTCTTTTGATGCCAATCCCATATTGTGGGGAGGATCTGCTAGAGAAACCCGTGAGTTAGTTATACATTTCCAGAGTCTTGCATTTTTTAGGGGAGGTATTTAATTTCCTCCTCACTCACTTAGTATTGCATATAGGAATTTCCTGTTAATGTTGCTGATGGCTTTAATCCCAATAGTTCTGGGTTCATTTGCCACCATACTTGGGTAGTAGCAGCAGAAGTGTGTTTGGTTCATTCCCAAAAAGTGGCTAGTTTGGAAAATATTGTGGTTAGCAGTGGAGGCACTCACTGGATACCTGGAGAGACACTTTATGGAGAAATGCAGCTGAGAACACTTAGAAGCTCATGTCAGAAATGGCGGGTCTCTCACAGACCAGGAATCAAGAGCTGAGCAAGGCCAGTGGCCCATGTGGCTAGCCAGAAAGCAAGGTTAAAGCAAGCATGGCTTCAAAGAAACTGAGTAGCTCATATAGGTGGACACCACATATCCCCTAGGCTCTGAATGGCCCTGCAGGGGAAGCCCATAGCATTAGTGCTTGTAAAATAAGACCGTGGGAGAGGCCAATAAAGACTACACCCCTCCTAGCTGTACTTAGCATGAATATGGTCCCAGAGGTCTACCTAAGAGCCTCACAAGGTAGACACAACACTTCTAGAGGAGGAAGAAGAATGGGAAGGAGAGGGTGTGGGCTCTACGGGAGTGCAGTGGGAATAGACAGGGCAGAAATGAGACCACCACCCATGGGGGGGGCAATTAGACTCAAAGAGAGGTACGTGAGTGTGAGAAGCAGATAGTGTAGTAGAAAGCATGGCACAGTGCCAGCCAGAATTTTCTGGCTATAGCTAGCAGACTGCTTGGTAGAGAGGCTATGGAGAGAGCACATCAGATTTCTTGGATTGGAATCCAGAGGATGAGAATTGTGAGCAGTGTGGAATCTGATATGTTCAGGTGAGTGGTGGCCAACAGAACTAGGAACATAAACTAGAGTCAGTGCAGGCTTTGGTCATTTTGGATGGAGGAACAGCCTCTTACCCAGTAGTACCCTGACATAGGGATTGAGAGAAAGAGAGAATGAGAGAGAGAGAAAGAGGAGACAGATGTTGGTTCTTAGTGGGAAAGCAGTATATGATCACTGTAAACAACCTTATAAAATATAAAATATAAAAGAAAAATATAATAAATTCCAGTAAACTTGTCACATTAAAAGACAAACTTTTTTTTTTTTTATTATGTTAGTCCCATACAGTACATAGTTGTTAACATTTTGGTGTTAATTTGTCCAGATCTTTTTTTTAAGTAGGCTCCATGCCCAGTGTGGAGCCCAATGGGGGACCTGAACCCACAACCCCGAGATCAAGACCTGAGCTGAAATCAAGAGTTGGACGCTTAACCAACTGAGCCACTGAGGAGCCCCTCTCCAGATTTTTTTATAAGTGTTTGTATGCATGCTTTTGTATGGGCATATGATGAATGTGTGTATCTGTTTTATATTTGAAAAAATATATTTGAAAATATATCCATTAGAGACATGGATAATAAACAGATGAATCAGACCCATTTTAAAATTTTTTCTAAAGATGCAGCGATTATCCTAGATTTTAGAAGGGATTCCAAGTCTGTGGTAGTTAATATGCTCAGGATAAGTTTCATGGATTTGATCTTAAGTGACTTAACCATTTTATGAGTATAAACACACACACACCACCACCACCACCACCACCCCTACAACCACCTTCCTTATGTAATTTTTTAATAAATACTAAATGCCAGATATAGAGACAAACTATAGCAGGACTCTGACTTCTAGATCAGATTTCTGGTCACTTATTTCATGAATACTGTCTGGGTCACCTGGAAGGGCCTGAAGTTAAGGACTAGAAGGAGAGGAATGAGAGGCTGCCTCTTTTAGGAGATTTGGCTGGAAGTTAGGGTATGTTCTGGACAAAGACCTTCATCATGTGCCTTTCACATGGGTATCCTTTTACCTTCCCCATTTCCTTTGTTTGGACATTGCTGTCTCTGTCCCTACCATCTAAACCACTTGGATCTTTGTTGGGTCCTGGAGTAGTCTGAATAATATTAAATCTCAGTCTATAAGTTACTCATTTTTTATGTTTATTTAGAAATGTTTCATAAACATGCCTTGTGTTCTCTATTCTGACTACTAGTGCTCTAGTCCAGCTACTCACCTCCTGCTTGGAGGATTGCTATACCTCCACATTTGTCTCCTTGCCTTGAACATCTTTTGCACTAGTCCTAAATCCCATGTAGTTTGCAGAAGTTTTTTCAAACACAATTCCGATTATCTTGCTCCCCTACTTAAAATCTGCTGAGGGTCTTTTATTGCCTGCCATATAGCATTACTTCTTAGAATGACAATAGGCCATTCTTTTTCACTTTTATACCTGTTCCCATCTTATTTTTTCAGTGTACTATCTCTAATTTTTCCACATAGTGTGTTTTTCAGCTACTTTATAGTACTTGCTCTCAATGGTTTCATGTACTTTTAAATCCGTTTCACTCTGTTTCCTTTGAATTGACTTTTGCCATTTTTTTCTTTTTAGTAACACCTTATAAAATGAAGCTCTTTATCATTTGTCAGGCCAAAAGAAACATTTTCTTTTCAGTGTCCCCAGACCTTTTGGCTCATACTTTAAAACAGGACCATTTATAGTTCAGAAAAGTTTGGGTGAGACTTCTGAGTCATATATGTTCAAGTTAAAAAATATCCTGTATTACTCCTTTAATTAAGTTGATAAGACTCCCTTGGGTACGATGGACATACATGTGTAGGGTTAACCCTTCCACTGTCTTGCCTTTAAGATAGACAGACCTGAATTTGGGAAAAGACCATATTAAACCATTGGTTTACGATTTCAGAGTTGATGTATATTGTATATCTCTTAAGGTACAGTAGTCCCCCCTTATCCACAGGGGATACATTCCAAGACCCTCATTGGATGCCTGAAACTGCAGATAATATCAAACCCTATATATACTCTACTGTATTTTTCCTATATATACATACCTATGATATAGTTTGAGTTATAAGTTAGGTACAGTATGAGGTTAGCAAAATAACTAATAATAATACAGAACAATTACAATATACCATAATAAAAGTTATGTGAATGTGGTGTCTCTTTCTCAAAATATCTTATTGTACTGTACTCACCTTCCTTCTTGTGATGATGTGAGATCATAAAATCCCTACAGGATAGGATGAAGTGAGGTGACTGATGTATGCATTGCAATGTAGCATTAGGCAACTATTGACTTTCTGATGACATGTCAGAAGGAGGTTCATCTGCTTCCCGATGCAGCTGACTGTGGGTAACTGAAGCCATGGAAAGTGAAACTGTGGGTAAGGGGGGGTTACTGTATTCTCAGAACAACTTCTTATCCATTCCCCTCACATCTCAAAGCTTTCTTTATGTTAAACTTGATCCAAAGGGAATGAAGCTGATGCAGAATCAGATTATAGTTTGCCTTTTCTACTCCTAAGGAAGCTTAACAGGGATACAGGGCTTTTAATCCTAAGAAAGTTGAAGAATGGGGGGATGGAGAATCTGGATATCTGAAATGGAGACTTAGAAGAGGATTCAATTGTTGGTGTTTGACTTCAGCATGAAAACTGCCAGGCAACACTTCATCATGGAAACTGGTAGTTAAAGGAGTCTCTTGGAAAAATGGACATTCCTGAGAGAGGTTACAGGAAGAGTCAGTGCTGAGGCAGGTGGCACCATATCATCACCATGTCATGAGCCAGCATCACCTAATTAACACATTTATGTATTCTCTTATTCAACGTAAAGTAAGAACTATTTGGGGGCACTAAACAAATAGAGAAGAATAAGACAGAGAACCTCACCTTAGGGAGCTTTCATTTACTACATATTCTCTCAGCAATAACCATGTGAGCTTGCTCCTTGACCCCAAAGTATCCTTTCTTTATAACGTCTGTCACTTAGAACAGAGTTGGGGTGGATGAGAGAAAGTCCACTTTAGACCAGAAGTCCCAGGGTAGTTTACATAGGAAGTAGAGCTGCTCTTTTTCCAGGGTCTTCTTCCCAGACATGTCCAGAGCCCTGACTTACTTCTAAACCCATTTCCTCCTCCTCCTTCTCTTATTCTTCCTTTTCATCTTTTTCACCACCATGATTGACAGGAAATCTGTTCCCTACCTTCATTTTTAAGCTGTTCTCATGAGTTATTGTTCTGTATTAAAATATAGACATATAGGGCGCCTAGGTGGCTCAGTTGGTTAAGCGACTGCCTTCGGCTCAGGTCATGATCCTGGAGTCCCTGGATCGAGTCCCGCATCGGGCTCCCTGCTTCTGCCTCTGACCCTCCCCCCTCTCATGTGCTCTCTCTCTCTCATTCTCTCTGTCTCAAATAAATAAATAAAATCTTGAAAAAAAAAAATCTTTAAAAAAAAAAGAAAAAAAAATAGACATATAAATGTAGGGAGAAGCCACACTTTCAAAGGTAGGGAGTGTGGAATTTTGAAGGTAAAAATTGCTTCTAGTGAAAATCACCCAGAAAAAGAATCTTTAGAAAAGGGGGTGATGGGAAGGAAGATTCCAAGGAGTGAAAGATGTATCACCCTTTCTTGATCCAGACTTAAGATGTTTTAGGTCTTCCAAGAAATTTTCCATCTCATCTAAGTTGTGAAATTTATTGGCATAGTATTTTCTTATAATCCTTTTAATATCTGCGAGGTCACCACTCTCATTCCTGGTATTGATAATTTGTGTCTTTTCTGTTCAGTTTGCCAGGAGGCTTACCAATCTTAATGCTTTTCTTAATGAAATAGATTTTGGTTTCATTGATTTTCATTATTGTTTTCCTTTTTCTGTTTTGTTGATTTTCTCTCTTATTATTTTCTTTCTTCTGCTTATATTGGTTTTAATTTTCTCTTCTTTTTCTAGGTTCTTAAGGTGGAAGCTGAGGTTACTGGGGTCTTTTTTCTTATACAGGTCCTGTAGTGCTATACATTTCCTTCTAACTACTTGCATCTCACAAATTCGATATGTTTCATTTTCATTCAGTTCAAAATAATTAGTGATTCCCCTTTTCATTTCTGCTTTGACCTGTAGTTATTGTAGATTCTGATTCAGGAGGCCTGGCATAGAGGCTTAGCAAGCTATAAATTTAAAAAGCCTCCATAAATAATTCTGATAGTTAGCAAGGTTTGGGAGCCATTTGGATGTCTTCAAGGGAATTCAGGCTCAGAGTGTCCATAATCAAGCTCATGATATTCTTTACCCAACTAAATTTCTCTATTCATGTTTCATATTTCAGTTAATGATACCACCATTTACCCTGAAGTGTCCCAAACTAGCAGTCATCCTTGGCCTTTCCTTAGCCTTCATATTTGATCCAAAATCAAATTATGTAATTTCTACTTACATAAGTTTAAACCCATCTCTTTCTCTTTATTTCCACATACCTCGTCCAAGTTTCCACAAAATCTCAACTATTTCAGTGGCCTTCTAACTGATAAATTTGCATGCCTGTTAGCTTTAATTTAATCTGTTCTCTACAACACAATATAAAATGCTGTTTTAAAAATAAATGTGATTGTGTCAAAACAACCCTCATCCATGATTAACACATTAATTATTTTCCATATTTCTCATTGGTTCTCATTTATGTTTTCATACTTGTCTTGAACCATAGGTTCTTTGCTCTTTGACTTCCAGTCACACCACTTTTCATTCCATTCCTTTACTGTACCATGCTTCCCCTTCTACAAGCTCTTTGGAGACAAGGCTTTCTTTGCCTAATATACCTTTCCCTAAACACTCTCCTTTTTCTTAGTTAATTTCTCTTCAAAATTTGGACATCCTCATAATTATCATTTTTTGAGAAAAGCCATTCCTAATCCTTTGAACAGGTCAGATACCCTGATTGTGTACTTTCATAGAAACATCCATTAATTAATCCATTTATTTAGTCACTGTGGTAGGCAGAATTCTAAACACCCCGCGGAAATATCCTGTTCTAGTTCCCCAAACCTTTGAATATGTGAAATATCACTTATGGGATTGTGTTATATGGCATAGATGACCTTAAGATAGGTGGGCTTGAGCCCATATGAGTCCTTAGAAGAAGAGACATTTCTGCAACTAGCTGGTGACAGAAGAAGTCAGACATATTCAAAGCATGAGAAGGATGTGATGCATTGTTGCTGGCTTGGTGATGAAAGGGGTCATGTGAGCAGCTTTAAGGAGCTGAGGAAGGCCAATAGACAACAGTTGCACAACCTCAAGGAACTGGCTTCTGCCAACAGCCCAAATGAATATGGAAACAGATTCTTCTCCAGGGCTTCAAGATAAGAACCCAAGTGGCTAACACCTTCATTTTGGTTTTATGAGACCCCCATTTAGAGAACTTCACAAAGCCCATCCATATCTCTGACCTGCAGAATGTTAAGTAATAAATGGATGTTGTTTTAAGATGCTAATTTTTTAAATACTTTTTTGCAGCAATGGAAAACTAATACAGTCATTGAATACATTTTTAGTGCTATTAACATTAAGTGCTATTAAAATGAGTGCAAACCTTGCCTTGAGAATACAATGCAGAACAAAGGTGGCTCAGACTCTTCTTTCATTGAACTTATAGTCTACTAGGGGAGGAGGAGCCTAAATGTCCTTAATGTCATTGCAAATTTGCATTTATTTGGGTACATATTTAGTCTAGTTCCAAAAACCTTTGAATATGGTAAAATGCCACTCCTATGATTGTGTTATGTTAGATGGCACAGTTGAGTTTAAGATAGGGAATTTATATCCAGATGAGCTTGAGATAATTACAAGAGCCTTTAAAAGAAGAGACATTTCTGTGGCTGGTGACAGAAGAAGTCAGATATTTAATTGATGTGTATTCCTTCCATAAAAAAATAAAATAAAACCAGCATATTGGACCTACCTGGGTGCCATAGAGCAAAAAAAAAACAAAAACAAAAAACAAAAAACAAAAAACAAAAAACCCCACAACATTATATTGTGCATTTTCAGAGGTTGTTTCATTTGAATTAGAATTTTAGGTAGTTATTTACTTGTGTCAATTTGGAGATTTTGATTTTAAAGTTTTACTATCCTCTGGCTTCTGTTGTTGCTGATGAGAATTCTGATGTTAATAATTTTCTGTATTTTGTAGATGATGTATCTTTTCTTTCTGAAAATTCAATGAAATTCTATAATAAAATATAAAAAAAAAATCAAGTTTGATTTTGGTACCTTTGTATTCTCATTACCTAGCAGAGTTCCTGGCACATAGGGGTCACTAAAGAAAAAAAAAAAACTTTTTGTTAAAACGTAAAAGGTAAAATGCTCCCAAGTTAGATAGCTGATTAGTATAGACACAGGTTTGACAGATTTTGAGTAAGGTTTGTTTCCTGACTCTAAATTTTGTGTTCTTAACCACTATAACACATGAGTCTACTTACCCAGTGCAGACACCATATACTAAGATCTTGTAATATTGAACCTCATACTTTTGGGAGAAATAGGGGGGTGGTTAAGAAGAAAGACACACATCCCCTTTCAGCTTCACTTTGTAAGGTACACTTGAGGAGTCAGTTCAGTGTCTCACTTGTGATTTTAGCTCAGGTCATGATCTCAGGTCCTGGGGTCAAGCCCCTCATTGGGCTACGTGCTCAGTGGGGAGTCTGCTTGGATTCTCTCCATCTCCCTGTCTCTCTGCCCCTCCTTCACTCATGTGTGTTCTCTCTCTAAAATAGGTAAATCTTAAAAAAAAAAAAAGATAAATCTTGAAAAAAAAGAAGGTATACTCAAACAGAAATATATTAACAAATCTTAGTAATGTAATTTTTTTTTCCTACAAAAAGTCTTTATGGAGCCAAAGTATTTCACTGAGGTGTGAAGGGCATAAATTCTGGGAAAATGGCCTGGGAGATCCTGTATGGTGAAAAAGTAGGAAAGCCTCACTAGGTGAGGGACTTTAGTTCAATCAGTTGGTTTGCACTTCTCATATCTCCAGGTCAGCTATCCAAGCTCAACTGGAAACCTTTCCACAGACTTTGCAATTATTTTTATGTATTCTTTTCTCTGAATGACCAGAGTAAACATTTCCAAATTATCTCTTAATTAATTAATCTATTGCCCTTTTCCCCATTCAAATTCATATATACATTCAAAAGAATTATTAAGCAGCTATTATTCCACAGACACCACTAGAAACTGAGTATATTTTGGCACCCTTGCTTGGGGTTTACAGTCTAGTCGAGGGACAGACTATTGCATATGTACATATATTGCATAGGAGACAAGCACAGTCCAGTGAATAATGTAGAAAAGAAAATTGGACAGGATTTTCTGAGAAATTAACTTCTACTTGACTAATGAGAAGCGAAGGTAGAAATGATACATAGATAAGGGGATGGGGGGAGATGAGAACATTACAGGCAGAGTAAATGGTGTCTGAGAAGACCCTGAGACCAGATAAGAGCTTAAGCTGATAGTCTTTTTGGCTCCAGTCTTGCTTATATGTCAACACACTTCTAACCTGCAATTCATACTCCTCACTTATTTTATAGTAAAAAATATTTAATAAATGATTCATACATTTTTGGACAAACCAATCTACTCAGTATAGTATGTGTAGTTCTGTACAATTGTGTACAATTTGTACAACCTTTCTGGCTTCATCCTGTACCACTCCCTCTTCAAACTCTATGCCACAGTTACACTTGTATAGATATAACAAGTGGTAGAGGGGTAAAGAAGTTCAGGAATGCTTATCTTTCCATAAAACATTTACTTCTTCGAAACATGGAGTCTTTTTTTTTCATGTTGCTCTTTCTTCCTAGGTTTTTCTCTTTTTCACTGAATTCCTACTTTGCCTAGAAAAGCCCTATACATTTTTCAAGATGAAATTAAAAGCATTCTCTCCTTTGTTGAGGTTTGTCTGATCTTCCCAGGCAAATTCTGGCAACTACTAATTTGCAGTTCCTCTAGTAATCTCTTGCACAGAACTTTATTATGGTACTTGTATTCTGGTTCTGTATTTACCTGCCTTTGTCCTGATACAAGATTGTGTTTGTGGAGAGAAAGAATCATGTTTAATATATTTTTCAGTCTTTAATCCTCAGCACTGTTTCCAGTACAAAGTAAATGGTGACTGTAAATTTGCAACATGAATAATCCTGATGGTCTTCCCACTAGCCTTGGCTAGGAGTTTTCAGTGCTTGCTGAGGGTAGCAGTTTCCTGTAAGGAACAGGAAGTTTCTTTTATGGTACCCAGACCCTGTTATATTTCATAGTTTCATCAGCCTTGGTCTTTCCTCTTTAGCATCCTAATCATGGCCTCCCTGATGGGCTTGGATTTCACACTATAGATGATGGGGTTGAGCACAGGGGGCACCACCAGGTATGTATAGGCAACCAGGGCATGTACAATGGGGGGTAGGTGCCTCCCAAAACGGTGTATCATGGACATGGTAATGCCTGGGATGAAGAAGACAAAGACAGCCAGGATACGGGAGACACATGTGTTGAAGGCTCGGATGCGTTCCCTGGGAGATGCCAGTCCTAGCACTGTGTGTAGGATGAGAGCATAGGAGAGGACGATGAGCAGAGAATCTGTGCCACCAGTGGACAGTACCACATAGAACCCATAGAGGATGTTTATGGTGATGTCAGCACAGGCTCTTCTCATCACATCAGGATGGAAACAGAATGAGTGGGACAAGAGGATCTTGTTAGGGCAGAAGTTCAGACATTTAAGCAGGAAGGGCACCGGGAAGAGAGAAAGGGTAGCACGGGCCACAATGGCCAGTCCAACCCTAATGATGACATTATTGGTGAGGATAGCCGCATAGTGAAGAGGGTTGGAGATGGCCATAAAGCGGTCAAATGACATGGCCAGGAGCACCGACGACTCCACCACAGAGAAGGAGTGGAGGAAGAACATCTGGACCAGGCAGGCATTGAAACCTATGAGCCGATGGTCAAACCAGAGCACAGCCAGGGTGGTGGGCAGTGTGGACAGGGTGAGGCCCACATCGGTGAGGGCCTGCATGGACAGAAAGTAGTACGTGGATTGGTGCAGGCTGGAAGTTCTCCCCACAGCCAAGAGGATCAGGCAGTTTCTAGTGAGGGCCACAGTGTACGTGGAGGAGAAGGGGATGGAGATCCATCCATGAACAGCCTCCAGCCCTGGGATGCCAATCATCAGGAAGGCATGTGGCTGGAAGAAGGAGATGTTGACATAGGACTGGGAAGGGAGCATCTTTGGAACGTAGTTGAGGTCTCCAGAAAGATGTGGCCTCTTCAGTCAGGGAAGAAAAATAAGGATAAAATCATTGGAAAATATACCAGCTCTGATATTAGGTGACATGTGTTCCTACATATTAGCAAATATGAAATGTAAAGGGATTTAAAAATGTACTCCACCTAAAAGTCAACTAGAGAATAACTATGATTTAAATCTATTGACTACAACAGTGTCATTTTATACTATAAAACACTGATTTCTTCATATATTGAAGAAAGCAGTGCTTTCTTTAAGAATGTGAGATGATCCTAAAAAGCCTAATCAAAAATGCTCTATTTTAAACAAGAAACAGTGGTCTCATGGAAGTAAATTGCAAACATATGATGGAAGCCTGAAGGGTTGATGGCATGGGCTTGTTATCCTTCTTTACTTGGATTCACCTTTAAATTTCCAAATAAACAGATAAGTAAATAAACAAATAAAAAACTCTCTAAAGATAGGTCAATAAAAACAACAGAAGGAAAACAGTCACTGAAATATCTTTTTTTTTTTTTTTAAAGATTTTATTTGAGAGAGAGAGAGACAGTGAGAGAGGGAACACAAGCAGGGGGAGTGGGAGAGGGAGAAGCAGGCTCTCCACTGAGCAGGGAGCCCGATGTGGGGCTTGATCCCAGGACCCTGGGATCATGACCTGAGCTGAAGGCAGACGCTTAGTGACTGAGCCACCCAGGCGCCGCACTGAAATATCTTTTAACAAAGATTAAAAAAAAAACACCAAAAGTAAATCCGAGAGCTAAAGGGGTTTTACTATGAACGCTGGGTGTACAGTTTTGCCATATCTAGCCAATGTGATAAACTCACTCTGAAGGTAAGAATGACTTCTTTTTTTTTCCTTTGGGGGAGGTGACAGCATTGGGTCTCTAAAAAAGATTGCATATATTCTAATAGAATATTTTAAAGGAGAATATAATGAATTTTTGTATTCATAATAAATATAGTTTTGACACTGTCAGTTCTGTCATCCTCCATTTCTTCTCTCTCAAACACTATTTTAAACAAAAATTAATTCCTGGTAGAGCTCATCCCATTGAAGGATGAGTAACAGAAAAATTCCAACATAGAATTTGTGCAGACATATTATATAAAAATTAAAAGGGATAAAACATGTTAAAGATATGTAAAAATACTCTTTGAGATAAGGAATTATTAAGGAAGGAGAAGAAAATTATGGATAAAAATTTTATAAATAAATAAAGAAATCATGAACCAAATTAAAATTTTTGACATTTAGGTATAAAAATGAGTTGATAATAAAAAAAAAGTGAATACCAAAATGGTAAGCCAAAGAAAATAACATGAGAAAAATAGTCCAGCATCCAGAAATATGGGATAATTGGGGAAATATAAATCCTGGTTGAATTCTTGATGATGATCTTTTATTTTGCTGTGATTATAATACTATGGCTGTGTTTTAAGATTTGAAAATATTTGTAAAATAAGGAAGGACATTATATGGACTTCAAAATAATTGGGAGAGTGGGGGCCACCGATGGTAGGAATTGTGTAGTGCCAGCTGCCAAGAGTGGCTATGAGCTGATGATTTTGGTAGCTAGGTATGGGTATATAGAGATCAAGTTTGTCTTCTCTCTAATTTTGAGAGGATTTTATTATTTTTCATAATAAAATATTAATAAGTCAACAGTTTTACTCCATAAAAAGTGACAACGTTTAATGGGAAGAGTTTTCTAATTAAACATGGTGAATTGCACACAAATCTTTACTCTTCCAAAATCTCATATAAATGATAGTAAAAATTAAAAAAAATATTATCTGGCAGTGGCAGAAGAACAGGATGGGATATAAGGTATATCAACAATAGGAAGAGTGGAAAGAAACTGGCACAAATAGAAGATTAAGTTCGTAGAGAGGAGGTTATGCCACACATCCACGTCAAAAGAACTAAGGAGTTAGAGTTGATAAAGGCAAGAGTAAGGAATGGGATTGAAAACAGGATGATTTTCTAGGGAACAGGTATATGATTCCTTCTCCTGTCCCTTGCATTCTTGCAGAAGACAGGTTACTTTCTGGAAAAATTCTCCCAGCAAGGTTCTGGACTCAGAGTTGCCAGACAGAAATGAAAGATTGACAGTATTGAAAACAAGGGAATTGAGGAAAGGTGAGACTTCCCAGCTGTTTTTCACCACTTGGATCACAGAGTCCTGGTTACCAGGATTACTCTGTACCACCAAAGGGCCACTATGGGAAGCCAGACCAGTGTGACAGAGAATGCGTGTGGAGAAATGCCAGTCCAGACAAGGAGAAGGATAGCTGAGATGCTGAACCAGAGCTCAGATGACCTCAGAAAGCCAGATGGGAAGAGAACTTGGCACGTTTTCTCATCCACTTTCTGGAGAGACGATGAGGGACATCTCTCCCGGAATGTGGTCTGAGCTTTAAACTCCCTGAGCCTCAGGTAGACAGCCTCCTTCAGGCCATCTTCTCTAAGCAGGATATGGGACTAGTATCTCTTATGGTCCAAGACTTATTACTTCTCTTTCTTCTGTGTTACTTGCAGACCCTTCCCACTGTTATCTCCATCTCAGGCTAAGGTGCTGGTGGCCACCCATCTGGGAAGTGGAGAAGGGGATGTGTTGGGGCCCCAGGTTACTCACCCTGGCTGTTGTTCCAGGCTGCTCTACCACTCCACATCCTGTAAGAGCCCAGGATATCTTTGTGGCAGAGGGATTGAATTTTATCTCACTACACAGGGACATCTTGGCAGCAGTGCCTATCTCCAAGGGAGGCCCGACTTCGGCCACTGAAGAGTCACTCTGCTCAGATCCCTGGGGAATGGAAAAGTTAAGGCTAGCTTTGGAATCAGGGGAAGCATTTGGCGGAACTAAACCGTAAGGGGTCAAGGGAGAGACTGAATCATGGATTCTACAGTATCCCACCACGTTGAAATGGTTATATTCAGAGACTATCAGCTTCAATAGCCCATCTGCATTTGAGATCCTTCCAAGACAATATTCCTGAAGCCTCTTGACCAGCCCCAGGATCAGTCCTGCAGAAGCTCTTAGTCTTTCTAGAGGGTAGAGATATGGAGCTAGAAGTTGTGGCCTAACCCAGCCTGAGGGAATCAGGGAAGCCTTCCTAGAGGAGAGGGAGTGGACTTCTGAAAGGCCCACAGACCTGTTCCAAACTCTCAGCACTTATTCTAGGACAGACACTAGGACTTTGGGCTTGCAGCTCCAGCCTAGGGCTGGCACGGATTCTTCCCACACTCAGCCTGGGGCTGACCTGCTGAATTACTACTTTTTTTTTTTTTTTAAGATTTTATTTATTTTTTTTATTTATTTGAGAGAGAGAGAATGAGAGACAGAGAGCATGAGAGGGAGGAGGGTCAGAGGGAGAAGCAGACTCCCCGCCGAGCAGGGAGCCCGATGCGGGACTCGATCCTGGGACTCCAGGATCATGACCTGAGCCGAAGGCAGTCGCTTAACCAACTGAGCCACCCAGGCGCCCTGACCTGCTGAATTAAAGTTCAAAAAGGAGGGAACTTGGACAGTGGAAAGAACATGTACTACAGAGCCAGGCAGACAAGGGTTTGGATTCTTGCTCTGTTTTCCTCACCAAATACAAGCTCTGTCTCCATTCTTTCTTACTTTCTGGAGAGTTCTGCCACAAATTCGCCTCAGCTCCTTCCTCAATCCGTTTGGACTGTGGTCATTCACCTGGAGCTGCTTTCTAGGGATACCTTGACTTTTCTCCTCTTTGATTTTGGCTGCACTCTCCCAGCTGAACTGGGCCCAGCCTGTCTACCTTTCTCCCCCTGAGATAAAAAAAAATTATTTATTTATTTATTTATTTATTTAGTTAGTTAGTTAGTTAGTTAGTTTTTTTAAGTTTTTATTTTAATTTCAAGTAGTTAACATACAGTGTTATATTAGTTTCAGGTGTACAATATAGTGATTCAACAATTCCATACATCACCTGGTGATCATCACAACAACTGCACTCCTTAGTCCATATCACCTATTTCACCCATTCCCCCCCACCTCTCCTCTGGTAACTATCAGTTTATCAGTTTGTTCTCTGTAATTAAGAGTCTGTTTCTTGATTTATCTCTCTCTTTCCTTTGCCTATTTGTTTTGTTTCTTAAATTCCACATAGGAGTGAAATCGTATGGTATTTATCTTTCCCGGACTTATTTTGCTTAGCATTATGCTCTCAGGTTCCTTCTATGTTGTTGCAAATGGCAAGATTTCATTCTTTTTTTATGCTGAGTAATATAATATATATGTATACCACATCTTTTTTTTTATTCTTATGTTAATCCCCATACATTACATCATTAGTTTTTGATGTAGTGTTCCATGATTCATTGTTTGTGCATAACACCCAGTGCTCCATGCAGAATGTGCCCTCCTTAATACCCATCACCAGGCTAACCCATCCTCCCACCCCCCTCCCCTCTAGAAACCTCAGTTTGTTTTTCAGAGTCCATCGTCTCTCATGGTTCGTCTACCCCTCCGATTTCCCCCCCTCATTCTTCCCCTCCTGCTACCTTCTTCTTCTTTTTTTTTTCTTAACATATATTGCATTATTTGTTTCAGAGGTACAGATCTGAGATTCAATAGTCTTGCACAATTCACAGCGCTTACCAGAGCATATACCCTCCCCAGTGTCTATCACCCAGTCACCCCATCCCTCCCACCCCACCCCCCACTCCAGCAACCCTCAGTTTGTTTCCTGCAATTTAAGAAATCCTCATATCAGTGAGGTCATATGATACATGTCTTTCTCTGTTTGACTTATTTCACTCAACATAATACCCTCCAGTTCCATCCACGTCGTTGCAAATGGCAAGATCTCATTCCTTTTGATGGCTGCATAATATTCCATTGTATATATATACCACATCTTCTTTATCCATTCATCTGTTGATGGACATCTTGGCTCTTTCCACAGTTTGGCTATTGTGGACATTGCTGCTATAAACATCGGGGTGCACGTATCCTTTCAGATCCCTACTTTTGTATCTTTGAGTATACCACATATTCTTTATCTATTCATCAATCAATGGACACTTGGGCTGCTTCCATATCTTGCTATTATAAATAATGCTGGTATAAACATTGGG